CGTAATAAGTTCGCAACACGTCTCTGGGACAGTTGGTATAAGGTTGTGTTATCAATTTATTGATAGCTTTGGGTGTCACCAAACTATTTGAAGCTGTCTGTACATCCAAACATCTCAGGAAGATAGCTAGCAGTCTCTTGCCGGTTGGTGAATTGGGAAGTTGGTAAAGTGGGAGGTTGGTGAATTGGGAAATAGAATTGGTGGGTTGGCTATTTGGTAAGTTGTCTTTTTAGGACAGTTGTCCTAATGATACTGAAGGGCCTCGGCTAATTAGCGAGCAGTACAAGTGTAGCTACAGCTACATACCTTGCGGCCGGGTTTCAGGCAGAAGACGCGAAGGGCGGCGGGCACGACCACGCGACGGCGGCTGTCGTAGGGCGGCGGGCAGCCGTCGTAGGCGCGCAGCCTCCTTAGCGCGTCCTTCCCACGCTCGGTCTTGTGTGGGATCATGCCTGTCAACATGCAATGCGTTAGTCTACATTCTAATCCCATTAGTTGATCGCATAAGCTTCCAAATTACTTCATATAAGTTGATTTTATCATAAACAAATCAAATAATGTAGGTAAAGATTGATTAATCATCAGCACGAACTGCAACTAAAACAGGTCAATTGGACTCATTACAACTAATTGAATGATAGAGAAAATGGAACCATCCCAGTTTAAATAAAGATTAAACTTGAAACTGAATTTTAAATCCATAAAGTAAAATGTCTTAGATAGACAAACAAATAACTGAAATTGAAACCAGAAAATATTTTACTCAATGAACTTCTTCTTTCGGTCTTTTAAAAAATAATTGAACAATTCTTGAGTTTAAAAACTTTGAGTAATGAAAACTAATATTATTTAATGCTATATAGAATAATGATTGATGAAACTGCAATTCACAGGCCTCAACTCAACTAAAGGTGTGACAATAACCAAAGGGTCATTCCATCGTTTCGGGTGTTACGTTCGTACACACATTTTCAACAATTTCTTGTATTTTGAAATAGTATTTTAATAATATTAGTGCCTTAATCTGTCCGTTTTTAGTTGTTTTATCTAAATAATAAAGTTTGTACAGCTTAGAATGTAGGATAACGAAAATATGAGTCGAAAAGTGTGCGTTTCGGGCGTTACGAGATTTTGCCTCTATGTTCTGACTGTTGCTGCATTTACTCGAAATTTAGCGAATTTTCTTAAGGAATCATACCTAAAACTTACAGGACTTCTAAAGTATGAAATTTACAAACCATGTAACATACAATCACTGTTACATAAAACGTTTCACTATTTTTTTATAATTTTTTTCTTTGTTTCGGGTGTTACAATGGTTCTGTTTCGGGTGTTACGAGTACGAAAATTCAACCCGTTTTATCGATAAAATCGGTGTTTTATTAGTCTCTAGGTACTACAAAATAAGGAGTACAACAAATAAACACAAATAGAGCGAATTCTGGTTTGAAATTACGAAGCAGATTTTTTTTTTAAATATACAAAGTTCAATTTTAATTTTTCCTCAGCATACAGCTTTTTCTATTGTTTTTGGCTTGAAATAGCATTACTTTAATTTCTAATAACGATATTTATTGGAAATGTCGAACATCGAGGCTTTTTAACAATACCTTAATTTTAGTGTTAAGTCGACATTTCAAAAAAGTCTAAAATAGAGAAATATGACTCCTTTTCCGATGCCAGCGCTAGTGGGAGGTCGAAGGAGCCTCACAGTAATACTTTTTGACTTCTCCAAGCAATATATACGCATTATCGACATATAAATAAAAATGTAATACCCGAAACGTTTCGGGTGTTACAGTTTTTAATCAAGAAAAAAACATACTAAATTAGTATCAAGCTCAGATATTAGTTAGTATTTGAAATCATTACTACCATGACCTTACTTTTACCAAATATTGTTACCCTAATCCATGTGTAAGGTACAATAATAAAACAAATACCTGTTTTTTTGTTTCGGGTGTTACATCGCCGAAGAAACAAGAAAACACACTTAAAACTTGATGATTATCAATTTTTTTGGGACTGTGACGCTATCTACCAATACTATGATAAATACCCTCAAATCATATAGTGGCAAAACGGTTCACAGATTGATAGTTTTTTTTTAATCGTATTACCAATAATAAGAGTGAAAATGATCATTCAAACAGTTGACTTAAGTATAGACTTTGAAGACTAATAACTTAAAAATTACTTGTTACTTCCAGATTTTTTTTGTTGCACATTATAATTTGGAATGTTTACTCTCAAAATTCATCAGATTTAATGCGAAAAGAACATATTTAGTTTTTCACCCTCGGTAACATTTGTCATGGAATGACCCCAAACAATGTTCAGAAAACAAGTAAAATTGGAGATCATTGTACAAAAACCAAATGTTTGCCTAACTTACATCAAAGCTGAAATAATCATGGTTATTAACACTAAATAATTAATTAGTTACCTCTGACTGTCTTCCACAGGATCTTAGAAGGAGCCCTGAAGTGGAAGGGCCCTCGAGCTGGGTTCACATTGCAGCGCTTTCGCAGGAATGACATGAACTTCAATTTGTTCCTGAAATGTTACAATTATGTATAATTATATGATATTTTTCACTATAATCACAAGACTAGACTGTAATAATAATCAGCGAATTACCAGTAGCAACATCTGTATTATTATACATTCAGTCGCAAATTACCCAAAATAAATCATCATAATTAATGTGAAATCTGAACTTAGTTAATTATAATCGAAAAACACTATTCATTTGTTAAATTACCATGCTTGCTTTACCCCAAACAATGACCAATTACTGAACCTAACTCCACCTAATCTTTACTTGTAAATATTGGCATTTTAAAATGTTCATTTATTTCTAATATATTACACCCTTTTAGCACTTGATTAATGCACTTGGTGCTATAGATGAGCTAAGTTAAGTTCACAAATGTAGCTGCTTGCAACTCACCTGAAGAAATTGCCAGAGATGTTGAGCTGTTCACATCGAACAACTACAACTTTGTTTCCCTCTAACAGGACTTTAGCGATGACTGCGGCCAGGCGGCCGAGCAAGTGGCCGCGGCCATCGATTACTATGGCCTGGAAGACAAGATAAAATGATTAGTGCAAGTTTCAGCTGACGTACATACCGCATAACCTCAAAGTTCACGTTCACTTGTGCCACTCGAATTCAATAAAACAAGCGGCTCACAGAAAATTATTCACATTTTCCCAGTCGGGAATTCGAGAATTCTAACAGAGTTAACAAAAATTTGATTTTGATGAACTATCCACAGCAAGCACGTGTGCAAAGCATTTTCACGAGAGATTTAGTAATTTTAGGGCTTGACACATAATATTCAACGTTGTATTGCATTTGAACGATAATATTTTATTCACTGAGCTGGATTTCTTTGATTTTTTCTTGAAATAACTATTATTTTCTTCTCACCTTAATGCTAAAGCCCGTCATTTTCACGACAACAAAACGGAAAAGAATCACTTTTTAAAACAGTATGGCTACCGGATATGATTTTTTATTTTAAAATTGTGTTTTGCGGCTTTGGATTCGACCTTTTGAGCCAACCGGATGTGTTCCAATGACAACAGTTTTGCCAACATAAAAGTATAACAAAAATTGTAATGCTACGGCTATGTCACCGATTTTTGAGATTTATCACCTTTCATTCAGATGCAGTCAGACGGTAAAATAATAGCATCTTTGAAGTATGGAGAAATGTCAAAAGATTATTTTGGTTTTTTGCAATGAATGAAAAAGCTAAAAATAATTAATAGGTAACTCATGAAGAGTCGTCATACAAGAATAATATTAACGTGTACTTTTTTTATAGGTCCAGGAATTTTCTGTAATGTAAATGATAAATAATATTTATTCTTGTTTGAAAAAATGGAGATTCCATACCGGAAGATATTTATTTACTTCCTAACTTTCGCGGCTTATGCCTACACGGGCATAGGTTCGGCGATGTTACGGAATCTAAAAGATGCAGTATTATCTGCTGAATCAGTCTTCGGGGACATGTTCCGAAACGTTATAACAGTGGCCGAAAAATTTAGGTCACTACATGAAGTTTTTGATGCTGCTGTTGAGGAGGAATGTGTATTTACGTGCCCTGAAGGTACCTATCTACTAATATTGGTTTATATTTTTTCTATCTTATATAATTTACATTGTTATTTATTCTTGTATTATTACAGGGAGTAGACCAGTTCGAAACCGAAATCACATTCCAAAATCAGACGGTTGTGGATCTTTAGGTTTTGAAATAGCATCTGAGTATTTGCCTCTAGAGGATATGACAAAATGTTGTGATGCTCACGATATTTGCTATGACACCTGTAACAGTGGGAAAGAGGTGTGCGACTTAGATTTCAAGAGGTGTCTATACAACTACTGTGATACATATAAGTCTGTGAATGTAGCTGGGGATGCAATTACCAAAGGTAATCATAGTGTACCTACTCAAAGTAAAATACTCATTTGTTTGGACTATATGTGCCACTTGCAAAAAATTAACTTCTCATTCAAAAATCTCCTTCAGCCATACTGGATGTAAGCTTAGTTGCTCTTTATGGAAATCTATGTGGGCTGTAGATACAGTGTTACAAAACTATTAATACTAAACTATATGATAATAGCTATTTAAACTTGTTTTATTACAGGTTGTAAGGCGGCAGCAAAACTACTATTTACGGGAACACTAACATTGGGCTGCAAGTCCTACTTGGATGCTCAAAAGAAGGCATGTTACTGTCCTCCTGCAAAGAATAACAAATATAAAAAGTACCCAGGAGATGGGGAGTTGTGATATTAACTGATTCATGGAACATGATTCATGACATCTGTTAATAAATTATTTATTTCCAATAACTTCCCGAGCTTTGAGTGTAATGGATAAAAATAAATAAGTGTTGATTTTTATTAGTAATATTTATTTGCTGTAGATATAATAATGCATGATACAATATGTGTTTGTTATACTTTGTATAGGTACAATGTTAAATAAGAAAATATAAGCCTGACTTCTGTAATCAGTTTTTTTATGTTGCAATTTAAAATAACACCTTAACATTATTTTGGAATCAAACTTACAAGCAAATATGGAATAATTTAAAGATTAAAAAAGGCCTTCTATGTTCTATCACCTAAAAGTAAATTTAATTTTTCATCGAGGTGATTGCAGTCATAGCATAAGAATTTTGGACAATTCTAAAATAGGCCTTTCAACATCTAACACTAAAGAGAGACCACAATCATAATACATTGGCTGTTCATAACACTTTGTTGAGCATATAAAAATAATTCATTACAATGTAAATAAATGCATGTAAAAATATTTTCTGTTGGACTAATTTATCGTTCCACCTAAAGCAAGTTCATTTTAGCTTTAAAATCAATACTTATAGAGAAGTCTGCTAATATTTGCGATAGATTACCAAACCTCCTTTTATGTCAATAGCTCTTTGATTTCATCTTTCTCTGCAGCTTCAAGATATGGAGTGCCATCTGGTGTTTTTCCATTTTTAGAAGCACCCTGTAAAATTAATTTTATTTAATGATCATCAGATTTTTTGAAACATAAAATGTTTGTAAGTTAATTTTGTAGCACCTTCTGGTCACGCACAACACTACTTATACATATAAAACATAATTTATTACAATGTGGGTACAGTTAGTTAAAATTAGAACTCACATTTTTTAGTAAAGTTTTGACACAATCTGTATGACCTTCCCAAATAGCTGCCAGGATAACTGATATTCCATGTTTGTCCACCATCTGTAAAAAAGAGTTGGTTGGCATGACATGCATAATCATAAGTAGTTACTCACTCTCATTTTGTTATTTATTATACTACATGTATACCTAATTTTATTTACAATTGTCTATTGTCGTATATTTAAATGATGATCATGGTATTAGACTAGGTGAATATTTAACAAATTTTCAGAGCAAATTTCCTTACGTTTGGATCAGCCCCTTTATCCAGTAAGTAGTTGAGGACTGCTGTTTGGCCGTAATCTGCGGCATAATGTAAGGGTACCCGACCATCTATGAGGGCGTTTACATCGATTTTCTGAAAAGAAAAAGCAAGAGTTGTTTGTTATTGTTATACTGAATGCTTTCTTGGTTTACAATCTAAAGCTATACAACAGGACATAAGTAGCGGATACAGGTACAAGACATAACAACTATTTCGTTACAAAAAGAAATGAAGCTTTCTCTAATGCTGAGCAATTTCCATAAAATCGACTAAAATGTTTATGGTGAATACAATGAATACAAGATATTTTACCTTATTCTCTATTATTTGTTTTACTTGGTCTATATCGCCATTTTTTATTCCCCAAACCAATTCACTCATCTTTACGTACTTTTTATAATAATGGTGCCTTTAGATTTTAGGAAAAGCACATAAAACCGATTCTGATTTCTGAAACGTAACAATGGCGTTTGCAACTTTGCAAAAATGTCTGCTGTCATAGAAACGTCATTTGTCAAATGCTGTGCTATAAAAACATCTACAGCGCATGCTATGTCGTTTCACCGTATTCATCTGTAACGCGACTGGATGGAACACGGAATCGCGGTGTCTTTCACAGCACAGAGCCCCGATTACGGTAACTTTTAACGTCTACAATCCAGACGCGTTTCTGATTCTGCAATACGATTGGTCAAAACAGCTGACGTGCGCTGTTGAACGACCAATCGTATCGCAGAATCGAGAAGCGTGTCTGGATTGTTGACGTTAAAAATTACCGTAATCGGGGCTCAGGTAGTTCAAACAAAGTAACGGAAACGGTGTGCAATTGCGCCTTTGCGTAAAAGCTGACAGAAAGCAACTTTTTTTCAAACGCTTTACCAACATTTGCTGAGTTTTATTAACTTTATCGTAATACCGAATTACACATCAGCTGGAATGAGAATGGAGCGAAACGAGAATGAATTGGAGACATTACAAATTAGCGCCATCGTAGGCAAAAATTAAGATGATTTTTTTGCATTTTTCCTAAAATAGCAGAGAGCATTTCTGCTCTCTGTAAAATAGCAGATAAAATAGTCATGAATACGCGCCAGCATAGTTCATCTCCACATTACTTTTCTCTATGATCTCCACTATTAGTAGCTCCATGAAAGAAATCTAGCTGTCTTAAGTCTTAACTGTCAATGTCATTATTGTCATTATTTTCACAGTTGGAATTTAAAAACTTGTGGTATATTTTGTAAAAAGTTTTTTGGCTTTTGCCTTTTAATTAATACATAACTATTGGAACCATATTTTATAAAAGCTGAGATGAACGCGGACCTTTACAATGAAGTTTCAAAAGTTTCACATGATACTCGAGCCGCAACAAAATATGTTGTGGTAAGAAAGTTTTTAACATACAATAATTTTATAAATCATTAGACTATAAAATATCCTAAAAATGTATTATACGTTTCTATTTTTGTCTACAAGTCTTAATTAAATCAACAGGATTTCCTATTAGACAGAATTTGTCCTGTACTACAAAAACTTCGGTCGCAGTTACAAGCCTTAAATGACCGCGATTTGGAGGAAGAAATTGTGAAAATAAGAAATGTTTTCCTGCTTACTTCAAGTCAGATAAAGAAATGTATAGTTAACTTCTTTGATGTCTTAAAAGTGGAACATAAACATGGTGAATGTTTACAGGTAGGAATGTATGACCTAAGTGTAAATAAATAAACCTTATTACTGTGGTTATCAATATTAAGTATGTTGGTGTTATTTATGATATTGTTTTTATTTCAGGAAAGTCGCCAATTTATATTTGAAAGGCTATCATGGTGCCTCACTAAGCTGTCTGCTGTTGAGAAGAACTTGGATAGATGTGAGCGAAATCCTGAAGATAGAGAGGATCTGAGTGAGGATGCCATGTTTGTGACACCAATGTATTTTGTCAATTGGATTGACTACACTTTTGACATCCTTAGCAAACTAGCTGAAAATGTGTACAGAACAGACTATAAGAACAATGATTTGGTTTATAATGAGTGGAAAGAAGTTGTAAGTGTTGTACCTATGTTAGATAATAATCTTACTATAAATATTTTTTGCATAAACTGTATTGATAGCTGATTCCATCTGCATTTTACTTATTTCTAATTCCAGATGGTTCAGAATGCAACTTCACTGCATATGTGCATCGATGAGCTGCTACTCTCAGCTATGACACTGTGTAAATATTGTTTGGCTGAAGATCAGACCATTCTAAAGGCTCGCTGTCAAGTGGTATGTACATTCCTTGAGACAAAGAATAGATAGAATATGTTTTATTTGGGTCCAAATATTAGTAAACATAAAAATGTATGTATTTTTCTCTGATTCCAGGTCTTGAGAGAAACTAAAGCATTATTCAATGAGTTAACTGACGAAGATATTAGTGCAAGTATAAAAATTACACCAGACAATTTGAAACTGCCAATCAAGCCTTCAAATGTGAACATACTAATTGACGTTTTAAAAGATGTGCTCTACGTCTTGGAGACCAATACTAACACTGCGTTGTTAGCCTTGTTGATACATTGCTATGTCAACTGCTCATCTCCTGTGGATATTTTGAAGAACCATTTTGACGACAAAGAACACAATTCTTGTCCATGCCATTCAGCAGATAACTCTGATGAGAAATGTACTATTGTAGAAGACTTTGATTTGTACAATGAGAGACTTGTGCAAATAGGATCCTTTGCTGTGTCATGTTCTTCGGACCAAAAAAGTATGTATAGGCCAGTGGTTCTTAACCGGTGGTCCGCGGACCACTGGTGGTCGCTGGAGGCATTCCAAGTGGTCCAGGAAGACATCGTAATAAACAAGTGACATGACGTGATGAGTCGAGTCAACACAACGCAAACGGTTCGCCCGCTGTGCGGCGAGAAGCCGACCTCCACTTTGGATTAAAAAAAAATAAGTGGTCCCTGACAAGACAGAAATTTGGTAAAATAGTCCCTCGTGACTTAAAGGTTAAGAACCACTGGTATAGGCAGACAGTTTTTTTTTTAAATACTGCCAAGACAAAACTTATTCGGTTTATTGTGGTTTTCAGGGATACTGACTCTTCGAAGTTGTTTGTCAAGCCTAGAGGCTTTGGATCCTCATTTGGTGCCGGCAGTCATGACCTCTCCCAATGGGCTCCACACACAGCTCCTCATTAACATTTGGAAGCAGGAAGTAATGGAGATTAGAGACACTGTCTTCTTGATTGTCGATCCAGTTGCATTTGTTGAGGTACCCAACAATTTTTTCTATGTCAATATACAATTACAATGTATTAAATGGATCCATCAGCTAGAATAATGGGATAAGTAAGCAAGAAAATGAAGTAAAATTATTAATACAGCAATTTCTGTAGAATCATTAAAAATTACAAAGCACCTAGACTGCTGCATGTTAAAAAGACACTGGCAAATAGTATGTTGTATTTTGAGGAGTCAAAAAAGAAGACAAAAGTCGCGAATTTTTCCGTTTTTGCTAAACCGGTCCTAACACTGTAATTTTTTTTTCTTAGAAATGTAAACAATACATGCATGAACTGTTACTGGGACTGCAAAACAAGGATAGCCATGATAGACAAGAAATATGGATTGTGATGAACATAGGAACTATGGTTTATGACTTTTTCTCAATTTACAAGAAGTACGAACCTGACGCCATTGCCCCTTATGAAGATTTGGACAAACTTTTGGAAAATTTAAATAGAGGTATGATGGGAGTCTTATCTAAAAACCTTTGTCAAAATATTTTACTGTAATGTAAATCAATTTCTTTTTCACAATTCTAGCTAGCAAGGAATGCAAGACAGTTTCGAATTTCTTTACTACAAACGGAAACTCATTTCTAGAAGCAGAAATAAAAGTCAATCAGCACAAAGTGACTTTCGAGAGTTTTATGACTCGCATTAAACTGCTGTACAGCATTGTGAAAAAAATCAATGCATTGCTTCATCCAAAAGACACGGATGAGCAATTTTTCGGTGAGGAAGAAGCACCTGTTAATAAAAATTACACCCATACAATACATTATGGGGTTAACACGCAAACATATACCAACTGCAGAAAACCTGGGAATAATTTGACAAGAAGTGTCTTTGCCCGAACTAGCAACGTCCAGAGTTCTACTAGGAATATGTTCCTATCAAAACTGACCAAGCATTTACAGATAAAAAAAAGTTTAAACGATGAACTTAGCTTCTCTGCTCAAGTTAGTGAACTTTTCAATGTTCAGAAAGAGAGAAAACCATTCCCCTCAGGAAATTTGTCATTGAGAAAAGCGATTTTCACCAATAAGTGTGAATTGCCGTTCTTGAAGAAAATGAACAACACATTTGATGTGGATGATGAGAGGGAGAGCCAACTGCTGGATAGATCTGCTAGTTTGCAGATATCAGGTGTGTGAATATTACTCTTTATGATAAAAATGTCCTTAGTGTTTGTTTCAACTTAGTGCCGTCCATGGCTGGCCAAAGGCTTGTCTCATGGATATCCACAACGACCGGTCCTGCGATGTCCGCATCATTTACCAAATAGACAGTCCATCTACTTGGAGGCCTGCCTACACGATGATTACGGACAGGAAAACGTAGCGCTCACCAGTTGGCGCCAATAGCGCGTGACAAGACCATATTCAGCAGTTGCGCCAAGTGGTGAGTGCAAATACGATAGCATTTATGATATATGAGTATTTTTCTGTTTCAGAAATTCTAAATCAAATTAACGATATTACGACTACATTTTCGAGTCCTAGAAAATATATGTGGCCCAATACGACTAAAGATCGTGTGGATGAATCGTCAGCGCCTATTCATCAGGAATCATTCGGTGATATTTCGACGTCAAATATATCAAACGAGACTCAGCCCTCGAGTATCAACACACTTGAGAGGATAAGCGATTTGGACTTAGTAGAAAGTAAACTCAACAGCTTAAGAAATTCAGAATTTGAAACGCATTTGTAATAATTATCACATGGTCAGATTTTTGTAAAATATTTTATAACTGATATCTGATTTTATAATTTTTACTGAGGTTCTAAAGAACTTCTGATTTTAAAATATTGATAGTATTAAGTTTTAATAATGTATTGATAAGTTTCCTAATTGATAACATCCGTCCATTTAGTGTTACTTTCAGTCGCCATTTATGTATAAGATGTTTTGAAATCTATGTTTACATTAAAATTATTTTATACATTTTTATAAGCATTATTTTTATTGATTATGTACCTACATTTCCCCAAGGCTGGAGACTAGACCAATTCAGCCACAAATTATTGCTAGAAAAACACATGACATCATAATTTCTTGCGTACTTAATGTGTCGGAAATTGAACTACTGATCATAATATCAGCAAAGACACGCGACAAAATTGAAAGTACACACTTGCTACTAAGGAAGGAGATGCTCCAACTAGAATAAGATTAGCATATTTTCTAACCGACTCTATAAAAGTGTTGCTGTTAGTTGGTTCACGCACATCGTACGATACTGTTCAGTTTACCCATATTTTAAATTGACTGAAGATATCACAGTATTCTAGGTGTTTGGCCATGGATCTGACAAGAGTTGTGCAGTTATTTCTGATACACTTGGTGAGGTTTAATTGCATTTCTAAAGTGATTGAGTTAACTTGAACTTGAAGCTTAGAAATAATAGGAAATTTGGGATTGAGCCCATGACATCTTGCTTTCCGAGCGACTGCCCTGACTACAGCTTTGGAGGTAAAAACAATGTTTTAAATTAGTTCGCTACTAATTGCATGAGGCAGTAAATTTTTCAAAGGAAAATCGTATTCACGAATCCTTTATTGACGAATATTTTTAGCGTGTCTACGGAAAGCTTTTTCTAACAGTCACGGGAGTGCCCGCGCGCGGTTCTGCAGCGCACGTGGATGTTCGCGCGAGTTTTAGCGGAGGCCCTAAAATGTGTTGAAAATCAGATGCATATTACATGAATACTAATACTCGTATATTTATTGCAGATGTCGCTAGGTTTGAATTCAGCAGAATCTGGTGAAACCGACGTCGCACCTCATGATACCTCAGATGAGTTTTCGACTCCGAACATTCCTTCGAGGTTCTCGTGGGGCTACTCCAATGGATCCTCCACCCCTTCAGAGCGACGCGACCCAGCCTCGGCGGAGGCCGACGATGATGAAGACCCTCAAGCGAGGGTCCTTTACTGGATCCCCACGACGTGTGACTCGTTATCTGAGGTATTTATTTTTTTTTATTTAAAATCTTTATTGCACACAAAATTCGGTGTGTGTGGTGTGGCATTCTCTACCAGTTAACCTTTAGGATGCTTGCGCACAGTGTTTGAAAGAAATCAAACATGTTGGTAGATTGACTTGGATAACCCTGTAACCTTATCCTGTAAACTGTAAACAATACTTTTAAGTACCTACATAGATACATTTTTTATTTGTTTTAAACCTCATTTCATTTAAATTACGGACCCATCAAACCCTAAGCGGTAGCATGAGGCTGCAGTAACAATTGATTTACTGCGTTTCGAATCGCGGGTAGGTACTTGAAAGAAGTCACCACCAGATGAAGTTTTAATAAACATACTTATTTTATATTCATACGTGCCCAGATGAAGGCCAATTACATGACTCACTCGTGGCGCATACTACTTACATTAAGACTCGCCATAAATGTTTATATCATTCATTTCAGAGGGGCTACACCTGTGTCGGTTGCGGCGAATCTCTGCACTGCATGGCGGGCAACTTTGCTTTGAAAGCCATCTGCTACGGCCGCCGCCCGTACTGTTACAACGGCGTGTGTTCATACATCCGCGGCGAGAAGTGCCAGAAGGAAGGACTGGAGACCTCACAAACTGACATACTACCCAATAATCACAGTATATATAATAATGCCACCATAACTGACGAAATTCAGCCTGCAGTCTCTAATGTAGATGCCATCGAAGGAAGTATGTGATCTGGATTGTTTTTAATTTATTTTAGACGTAATGAATATAAGTAGACCTTACTTTATTATTTCGAATAAATACTGGTTTACTTACAAACTAAACTTCTATTTTATTTATTTGTAGGTACATTATACATATAGATAGTACGAGTAACAACTAAAAATAGTTCCTTTAGGTATTCCTACATTTTTAACGTACGAGTGACATTTTAAAAACAGTCTCGATAATATCAATAAACTATTGTAGTTCATACACTAGTAGGTACACGTAACCGAATTCACCTATAAACTGAAGCAGAGGTCCTTTAGTTTTGTAAATAAACACAACTTGTTTGTTATAATGTTATTTTGACTATTTATTAAAATCTTAGGTACTTATTTAGGTAGGTATATTATGTACAGGTATTTCAAAGAAGGCTTTTGAAGGTAAAAAACAAAATTCAAAGGTATTATGAAATGAAAATGAAAATGAATATTTTATTCAGCGACACTAAACAACATCAAAAATATTTAACAAAAGTAAAGAGAGTAGGTACTATCGGGGACTCTTCCGCCTGACCACTTTGTAGAAATTTTAGCGTAAGCGCATCGCTCCGGTCACGTGCTCACCCCGTCTCTAATTGGTTACGCATTTTACTATATTTTTACTACGACCAATAAGAGACAATCAGGGCTTAGGTTGCAATACGAAATACCATTGTGCACTTTATTGTCATACGGTTAGGGTTTAAAACGAAATGTTTCTTTTTCTTCAATCTTTCTTAGTTTTAGGCTGAGTTGCACCACCTAACTTTGACCGTAGCTATAACGGTAACCGGTGCTTTTTGTATGGAGTTTGACAGAATTTTGACGTTTGTTAAAGTTAAAGTAAGATGGTGCAACTCAGCCTTAGAATTTTAATAATAGAATTTGGTTACAAACAAGATTTAAGAAAGTTTTAGCCAGATCTTACAATAATTGTTTTTAAGCCACAAATATTCCTTAACTCTTTATCAATTAATTCAATAACATATTGTTTTAAATTATAAGTTCCGAATAAATTAAATACCTATTAAATAAGTAAAATTCTTAAGTAACTGCATAATTTTGTATTTCTCACCCTAACTAGCTAAACTAATATCATGAGATTTACACTCATAATATCAACAATAATTGTAGAAAGGGCTACTTTTTTCTCGGGAAATTGCATAGTTACCTCGGAATGTGCGATAGCAATTTTGTGACCCGAGCGGGCAATCGCTAGTTCAAATTTTACACGAAGCCTCATATAATATTTTGTAGTTTCAAATTGACTAAAATGCGACGTTGCCAAACGAGCGCTACGGATGCGGGTAATAAGCAATACTCAATCCTAAGTGCTTTACATAGAGCTTGGTTTGCTAGGGCAAACATCTACAGTGATGCGCCGACGCTGCTTAGACCCGAAACATGAATGAACGGGGGCGGAGTTTAATCAGGCGTGTGTGTGCAAACAATTTAGGCCCTTAAGGTGTCAAGGCGTTCGAGTCCTCGATAGTACCTAATGTGCGTGTCACCGAAACGGTATCCACTCAGCATCATGTCGATGTGTCGTAAGGGACACCACGACGCTGGTCTTCCGTGGATACTCGGAGGGCAAGAGGCACTGCTATAACACAGCAATACTACTCCGGTTGCAGTACAAGTAACACAGTTATCACTAAAAAAACACACCGACTTCCTTACTGGCGAAGGATACAACACTGTTACTTAATGAACAAAGACTAGGTAGGTACAGTCGACAGCACATCAGGCTACACACTCCGATTGCAAAATAGCTCCCATCACAAGAAAGTAATTATGATGTCAAAGCGTTTAACACGATGCACCTTCGTCCGCACACCAAGCGAAAAAATAATCAAAATATTCATGCGTAAGAATAATAATGACAAATGGTAGGTCCCAGAAAAAATAATAATGGTGATATTATGATATACTGAACTAAATACCTACTTTTTTTTAAATAATTTAAGATACCTTTTGTAAATTTAGCAAGTAACCCTTATATCTAACACGAAAAGATCCGATACTATTATGCATAACTAAGCTTGATGATGGGGGTAATTTAAAGCGTACATGACTGAAAGTCGAACCATCGAACATTTTATCTTACAAAAATCCCTAGAGATGATTCTGAAACGTGGAGAAAACCGCAAAAGATTGCGAGTTAGTTATACGAGCTTCTAAGGTCACCCATAAATCACTCATGGTGAAATGGAGAGCTCCCATAGCGGTCAATTAGCTTCGGACTCGTACATGAATCATTTGGTATGTCTGTAGCCCTGTAAGTGGTATTGGATTCACCTAATTGAAGGAAGAAACCTACGAGTCTTAACCGCCTCTGTGGTCTAGTGGTTAGACCACCTGCTTCAGACGCAGAGGTCCCGGGTTCGATTCCCAGTGGGGGCAGATTTTTCTGTTCGGTTTGGTTGGTGGTAGGGCTTGTTCTAAGTCCGCCTGGCTAGCTACCACCATCTTACCTAAGTCTGTCGCCATAACAACAATGTTAACAGCATTATTGTGTTCCGACAGTTAGAGGTAAGATAGCCAGTTCCTCCGTGGTTGAGGATTCCGGGCGAAGCTCGCTTCCACCTTCGGCCTGATCGTCACTTAACATCAGGTGAGATACAGGTCAAGAGCTTCCTCGTTGTGGATAAAAAAAAGTCTACCTTCACTCACTCACTCGCTCTGCTACCTCATTCATTTTTAGAGATTGCATTAAGTTCTTAACAAAATCATTAAATTGGGTAGGGTGGGCTGGGTTGTTATATCTTCGAATGGAGCGACTCATATAATAATGATCGAACTTCACTTTGAAGTTCATTTGATCACATATTATATTTCGTCGCTCCATTCTTCAGATATAATATTACCTGGTAGACCTTTAGAGAAATGATTTTGTTAGGACTAAACAATGGTGTGTAATGCATATCACAATAAAAAAACATTAATAACATTAACATGTTGGTTTTATTTATTTTTATAAATGAAAATAAAGAAAATACAATATTTCTTTTTATAATTATTGACTATAGTTATTGTAATCAATATCTAATGATAACAATATAACCATTCGCATAACCAAAAGTATAACTTAAGGGCGAAAACAAACTGATTCCGCAAATACATTTTTTGTAATTATATTTAATCGATAGAATTTTGCAAAAGTATGATTATTGGTCCACCCAGCTGCTTTACGAATAGTTTCGATGCATACACCCGCGGAACTGGCCGTAGAGGTTGATGCGTGCCGTGTACTGTGCGCACTGAAAATTGAAACATCTATTCCACTCTCGGATAATACTGATTTTAACCATCTACTGATGGTCTGGGGAGAAATCGGTTTATGAGGTTTTTTGAAAGATAGCAGCAAATTATTTGAGTTTCTAATATTTTCTGTACAACTAATATAGTCTTGAAGTACTGTAGCTGGACAAATTTTTAAGTTTTCTTCGAAAAAGGGTAAAAAGAGAAGCGGTTGGTCACGACCAGGCGCTGAAGTTTTAATTATATCTGTGATACTTATTGTGATACCATTAGATAGGACTTTGATGTTATCTAATTTAATTAAGGATAAGGTTTGAACTCTTTGAGCGGTGCATAGTGCTAGAAGAGTCACTAACTTTTTTGTTAGTTTTTCAAGAGTGATCTCTTTGTTTGGATACCAATTTGCTATTAAGGTAAGTACTAATTGCGGATCCCACGTATGGGAGTATTTGGGCTTCAGAGGCTTTGACTTGAAGACACCTTTTAGAAGACGCTTTATGCACTCATTAGAACCTAAGTCATTTCCTAGTAACAAAGAGAGAGCAGATCTGTGATTGTTAATAGTTCCATAGCTAGCGCCCTTATGAAATTCTTGGGTCAAAAAAGATATAACTTCAGGGACAGAAGATTGAAAACTGTTTATATGTCTACTCTCACAGAACTGCCACCAGGCTTTATAACTTACATTGTACTGTTTTTTAGTGTTATTTGAGAGTGAAGCTAACATCAGATTTATGGCTTCTGGTGGGATATTGCGGTTTAAAAACGCCTTCCGGAGAGTTTCGCTGCAGCCAATGTAAGATGATGATGCAGTCGGTATGGAGGTGTATTCCTGAAACAGGATTGAAGAAAGTTTTCATCTGGCTTAAAATAAATTATATCGGAAACTAATAAGCGTTTCATTAGCGGATACCATGGCTGTGATGGCCACTTAGGGAAAACTAAGATGCCTACAGCTTGGTCATGGATAATTTTCTGTAAACACTTCAGTAGTAAGGGAAAAGGGGGAAACGCGTAGAAATAATAATCTTTCCAGGAAATGGTAAATGCATCTACACATAAAGCATCAGGGTCTGGAAACCATGAAACATAAGTTTCGCATTTGGCATTGATGCGGGAAGCGAATAAATCAATATTGGGTTTACCAAGTTTAGAAACAATTTTTCCAAACACATCGTCCGTCAATCCCCATTCTGTGTCAGGGTTTTGTTTTCTAGATTCAATATCAGCCTCTTTATTATCTTTAGTATTAATATACGAACCAAATAATGTTATATTACGCTTCTCGCACCATTGCCAAATTTGTCTGGATAGGTCATTCAAATGGGGGAATTGTATGCCTCCCATTCGGTTAATATAGCTAAGAGCTGTAGTATTATCGATACGCAATAAGATTGCACAATTTGTTACGTTTCGAGCAATGGTTTTTAATGCCAAGTAAATTGCTAACAACTCTAAGTAATTTATATGTAATGATCTTTCATTCGTTTTCCATGCTCCATGCACCCGAGTATTTTTACAGGAAGCCCCCCAACCTGTCTTAGATGCGTCTGTAAAGATTTCGAATTCAAAATTCGTGACATTTAAATCGTTTTTACATTTAAAAACTTGTTGGTCCCACCAGTTCAGATCATTCAAAATACACTCGGGAAGTTTCACTTTTGAATTGTAATTGTTATTATTATTATTTAACATCAGATATTTTTGTCTTTCTAATGTTTTGGTGTACAAAAAACCGTACTTGACTGCTGGACAAGCTGCTACTAGTACTCCTATAAGCTGAGAAAATTCCCTAATTGTGCATGTGGGCAGTTTAGAAAACCTTTGTATTAATTGTGCAATCTTTTTGCGTTTTTCGTCGGGCAGTGAGATAGTCAAGTTTGTGGTATCAAAATAAAAGCCTAAGAACTTACATTTCTGTTTAGGTTCTAAACAGCTTTTGTCGGTATTGATTATGAATCCGAGGTCAGTTAGTAATTGCAGGGTCTTCTTTACATTATTTAGACACTCATTATAATCGCAACCGATACAAAGTATGTCATCAAGGTAGATGACGGATTGAAAACCTTGATTCCTAAGAAATTTTACTATTTCTTTCATGATTTTAGTAAAAATTCTAGGTGCTATGCAAAGACCATAGGGCATTGCGTTAAATTCGTACGTAGTCAAATTTGATTTAGGATTTTCGAACTGAAAACGTAAATATTTTCGGAAACTCATATTTACAGGTACTAATAAATATGCCTCTTTAAGGTCGATTGTAGCTAAAAAGCAATCTTTCGAAATTAATTTTGCAACTGTTCTATGGTCTTCCATCTTAAAATGTGATTTGGTTATATATCGGTTTAAAGATTTAAGGTTTAGAATAAACCGCTTATCGCCGTTGGGTTTCGGTGCTAAGAATATCTTTGAGATGTACTGATCGACATCGGGCTTACATATGGATACGGCACCCAAGTCTAAAAGTTTTTGAATAGCGAGTACCATATCACATTTTTCTTGTGCACTAAAAGTAGGGCTAACAAAATCGGTTTGACAAAAATCTTTTTCGAATGGAATGTCAATACCGTATCTAATCCAGTTAAGAATTTGACTATTATTAGTAATATTAAGCCAATGTTTATAAAAATATTGAAGCCTTCCTGCATGTACCTGAGATGGTCCTACGTCTGGTGATGAGGTTGCCGAGACGTCCCCCGAGTCTTGGTTTGTTGATAAGGTTTTGGTTGTGATTGCGCTTGAGATGTCTGCGTAGAGGTTTGTTGACCCCGTGGGTTGGTTCTCTTGTAACCTCCGCGCCCCCCCCTGTTCTGCGAAAAACGAGGAGGGCCCTGCCAGTTTCCCTGGCTGTTGGCCCGAGTTACAGTTTGGGCTACGGATGGTTTAGGAGTAACCGTATTCTTTTTTATTTGTTGACTCTGAGTCGTGATAGCTTTTGAAGCCTTGATTTTTTCGGATAAATTATTACCATATAGGGTGTCGTCGCGTTCCGCGACTTGAATCAATTGCAAGAAACCTTTGTCTAAGCAGGGGGTGATGAATTTTTTCCTTGTTTCGGTTTGTTGGTGATGCAGATCTGACAGTAAGCGACAACCGTCACTGATACATTTTATTGCTTCGATCTTTTTATCAGATGTAAGCAACGTGTTAAGGCCTCTATTAATGGCAGAAATGCCTACTCCTAATTGATTTTGCGAAGAACAAATTTTTTTGTCTCGAAATCTCCCGGTTTCGGGAATGGCAGCCATAATTTCGGGATTTAAAGTCGGTGACTTTAGAAGGGGGCAATTTTCGGGTATAAGGTAATCCTTTAATAATTTATCGCGGTTTTCTTTTAATAAACCCTTTTTTAACAAAGGTGTCCATATTTTAGCTAAGCTATCGTGGATTTTTTCGCCAAAATCTGGGGATTCATCAACGATTTCCCCTAGGGCCGCTAATATATTGGGATCTAACTCTGGGGTGATCGGGGGTGGCTCTTCTGCGCTGGGCGCAGAGGCTGGTTCCGCTACATTAGGCAGTTCGACGGTTTCCTCGGTGTTGGGGATATCTGCAGGTACTTCAGGAGCGCAAACATCCACCAACTCCTCGACCGATGATGCATCGTCTTCTTCTGGAGGATGCCCCTCGATTTCCTCGGGGTTAACGATGTCAGCGTCTGTAGACAAGACATGACTTGGTTAATTTTATCACTATTTACATAATTCTAATTTTAGAATATGTTTATCGTGATGATGCTAAGCCTTCGTGTTGTTATCGCGAACAACCTCCCGGTATCATTCCCGTATCATTGAATCAAACTAGTTTTTTGCCATTGTGTTAAATCTACTCTATTAAATTATATATGATTTTTTTAAAGATACGAGTATGTCTGTTATAAAGTAAATTATTCTGAACAACAACATTATGAGTTGAAGTATGTTCTTAGTAACAACATTATTAATTAAAACAATATGATCAATGAATGTTATGAAGAAAAAAGATCTGAAAATAAAAATTATGTATTTTAAATGGTTCTTGGTAGTAACAGTATTGATAAAAAAATTATGATTACTAACTGTTATGAGCTCCGATGGTAGTAATAAAAATGTATGAATAAAAAAAGTATGAAAAATAAAATTATGAAGAGAGATTATTATGAACACAAATCGGTAGTAAGACAAAGAATAGGATTTAGAATTTTATGTGAGCCAATATAGAACCGGTAGACTATTACTTAGTGTTGCCAGTCTAAAATCGAAAAAACTACTGTTGTCTGTCGAAAAAATTCGACTTATCTCTAAAAATTTAAGTGCGTCGTTGCCATGTAGGCTAGGGGAACTACCAGGTAATATTATATCTGAAGAATGGAGCGACGAAATATAATTAAGGTACACCTTATAAACGCGGTGCAGCTCAACACAAAGAAGTAATTAATATTATGTTCAGACTTTTAATTATTAATTTTGTTCTGTTTTATAATACCTATTTATATTGTAAAAAATCATTCAAGGTGCCACTCGTTTAATATAACAAATTGATCTATCACGAGAGGGGTGCCTTCAAATAAGAGGCATGAGGAAGCGCTGCATTGGCGTCACTCTACTAAATAAGTAAAAAAAAAACAAATACCTACATACCAACACTTTTAACAAATTAAGAAATTCAAATCTTCGAAATGAAGATATCAGTGCACAAAGTACTAGCTAGATCAACCGTCGAATACGTCTTCGTATTTCACGTACGACTTTCTTGTACAGTGGACCACTAAAATCCAGCCAATTTACGCCCATATTCCGTTGATATAGGGATTGAATTAGATGGAATGTCGACTGTACCGGGTCTAGAATTTATCTAAAGCAAATCTCATTGTTCGGATCTTCGCTGGAGACGTGAGCTGAACGCGCGAGCGACGGATCCCATGGATTTGATTAAAGTTGTCAGCGAGAAATGCAATTTACCCAGCAAATATAATACACACTGAGTATGTGAGTTTGTTTTTAAATTTTCCAGTCCTTCTGTATCCCGAACATGCATTTATAATCCTATTTTAAACATTACTGTTACATTGTCTAAAAACCAATAATTGTTGAACCACTTAGGTCTTCTGGACTCGAACTAATTTAACTAAAAAAGAAAAAACCGCCAACAAAACAAAAATGAGTTAAATTATGAAACTAAACTTCAAAAAATTCTCAACAGACTCCAAAAGCTTAAAATCCTTATTAAACTTTCAAAAGTCAACCTTATTATCAATTAAAATAACCCTGATTAATGGAAAAAGTTCCAACATCCCTCATTGAAGTTTGACTGAAGAGGGATAGAAAGAATTTAACCGTCTCAAAGTGACAGTCAAACAAAAACAGTGGAAGCCCGTAATCGCTCAGCCATTCCGGACAAAGTTAATACATTATAATGAAATGCCACACCATTCTTTACGACTCCATTAAGTTGTTGGAGAAAAATAAAGGGAAGAGGAAATGGGGGCTACTCTGACCCCCTTTAGGATGGGCGCGAATTCTTTCCCCGATCGGACGACTTCTATGAATACTAATGCGGTGCGGGAACGCTAGGTGTTAAAATACGATAAATATAAACTTCGCTTCGGAGTTCTGTCGCTGAAGTTGCGTGGAAGTTTGCAGTAATAATCCTCTGTAATGCTGGGATAAGACCGGTAAGTATCGTTATTTTAGTCAATTTGCAAAGCTTACATTATTATAGATGGCCTGAAAGATATTCGTCATTATCCTCTTCAATAACCCACAATAATTCTGAAACGGTTAGTTGATGTACCAAATAAAAATACCAAAATAAAGGTGTGAAATTGCTTTCGAAATAGTCGAAAGTCACATTTATTTAACTTTGAATTAATTAGTTACATAACTCTGTGTAAGTTTACTGAAAATTCCATATTTCACTGTTTTACAAAGCATAGAAATGCATACTCGTAAATACTAGGTTACACTAGCTATTACAAACTAACAAAATAACTTTTATTAAACAACTTTAATGGAACTGTTCAAATCTAGTTTCATGCTGTGTACTAGGGTGGTCCTTATTTTTCGACTTTTGAATTCTCCCCGGGGCACTTTCTCATTCGATTATATACCTCTAAATATGAAATTAGCTTTTTTTGTTTTTTTTTTGGTTAAGATTTAGAGGTCGCTACCAGCTGTCAAAATATTTACAAAAGCTTTGAAGATCTTAAATCATGGTTTCATAAATGTTTTATTTAAGTGTTTATATCACATTTTAGGTGCAAATGAACATCGCATAGATAGAATAGACAATCACTTCTTGTCCCCTTCTCCCTCAACCCCTCTTCTGTACCGACCATGGTACCGACGTGTCGAGATATTCACAAGTAAACACTCATATCTTAAAAATAATTGATTCAAATAATGTACATTGTACATAATATCTTAGTTCATAGCAACAACAATAATTTTGTAATATTTTTATTTGGTTTTGGCTAAAAATAAATGAATCTAACAAATATAGGTTTTGTGTTTTTACTTAAAATTCAAACCTTGGTAGCGACCCCTAAATGTCTTGTAAAAATTAAAAAAAAAATAATGAAAGACTTTCATATGGTATATATTCAAATTACGTGGTGCCCCGCAAAATATAAGAAAAAAATTTTTTTTCGTAAGAATAAGGACCACCCTACTGTGTACACACAAAATTAGTTTTAATACATTCAGAATGTTTAGGATTCAACTTTGCTCTAATTTTGTGGATTCCACAACTTAGGGTTCAAATATTCGCTCCAAAACTTTGGCTTCCAAAACGTACAAGAATGCTCTCAAGTATTCAACAACACGGTACACCTAAGCATTTTCTTAGCTTCCCTTTCAAAGTTATACAAACGTTACCGCGGAATGCTTGTGATGCAACTGGAATGCTCAAAATTCTCAATTTCCATGCAGAAAACTCTATGAAAATGCACGAGGGTGAGACGGGGAATGTTGTCCTTATAATTGAACAGGTGCAGAGTCTAAGTCGTGCATGGCATTCTGCAGGCGCATTAGCATATAAATAACAAAGTGGGTACCAAAGGGCGGGTAGACAACCATTTTTATGGCGGGAAACTCAATTATCACCAGCAATTATCGAGTCAGCTAGATGGAAAAGCAATTGCTTTTTTGAAATTGCGGATTCGGGGTGGATTCGGTACGGTTTAGGGCCGTTTTGGGAATGCAAATTTTGGATAGGGTGTGTTATCACTGCGGCTCTCGCGAATAATAAATTATGGTAATATATTGACGACCAGTGAAATGGGTTTGGGTTTTTCAGGTCAGAGCTATTTCGATCGGATTCAAATTAATGGAGAAAATAATACTGTACTTTGATCCACGTGTAATTATTTTCGTTATGTTTGTCAAATAAAGTGTGCTTTTGTTCAGCAGTCTTGTGGCCTAAAATGATGATTTTAATGAGGACAAAGGACACTCTCATTCAAGCTACAAGTCAAAAATTTAATATTAACCATCAGACGTACCTAATTTTCCTGAAACTCATCGTAATGAGTATTTTTCCTCGGCTCTAAATTAAAAAGATCAATAAAAAAAATAAAAAATGCGTGTACTACGACACATTTTTCACCAAAATTCCTTCTTTTTTTGCAGCTTTGTTGGCTATATTTTCTCCACCTTATTTCCCTGACATTAACCCAAAAGAGCTTAGCGCGATTGCACACGAGCGCATTCTCGCTGCGTCGCGCGCGTATATCATTGGCGAGCATTAATTTGTGATACACCGCCGTGTGCACTCGCGTAGGCCAATGTGTGCTCGAATGCTAGTTTATGCGGGCGGTAAATAAACAAGCTTCTGCAGGCGTTAAATGGTTAAAGAAGGTTTGTTTAATGTTTTGGAAAATAATGTTTGTTGATGAATGTTTTAGTTTTTATATTATAAAAGTAGCCACAGATTATAAAATAACTTTAAAAAATCTATCGATTTAGTTTAAGCAACTCTTGACGGTAGAAATATTTTTAATTACTAAGTAGCTCAGAAGTTTAGACTTATTTAGTCTGATTTTTAAAACTCAAAATATTAGCAAGTAAGCAGCAATCTGCGAGTAAGCAGACCATATTATAAATAGTAATGATCCTTTCAAGTTATTTTTATAAAGTTATACGAGTACATACATACACACAAAAAGTTCTTTACATTTTAATTTTGATAGAGATTTTCCCTCTTTTTTGGCTTTGTACAATAAATTNATCTCTCGTATTGGTTTTTTTAAATATACATATTTTGCTTTTATTACCTGATATGTTTAAACCGATTCTCTGAATGAGTATATCAAATAAATTTTATGCTGGTTGAATGTTCATTTTAGCCTCTGTTAAGTTGTTGGCCATGGTGTAAATGACAAAATCATCAGCGTATTGAGATATAAAGACGTTTTCAATCCTTTTACATATGTCTACTGTGGAAATATTAAATAGTAAAGGAGATAATGGATCACCCTGTGCTAGTCCTCGGGAGGTTGTTCTACATAGTTGAAGATTATGTATTTGAATTTTTAGATGTCTTTCTTTCAGAAAGTTCCGACATATCCGTGTTCCTACACCAATACTATCCATAGTTATCAATAGATTGTGTATGTCTACATTATTATATGCGTTGTCCAGGTCTATAAAACATGCTACGGTCAGCTTTTTCTGTGAAAATCCAGTCTGAATTCTTGTCACCAAACTGACTAGGTTGTTTAGAGTTGATTGGCATTTTCTGAAACCTGTAGTATAATTAGACAGAATATTGTTTTTTTCTATGAACCACTCTAATCTATTGAATAGAATGTTATGAAAAACTTTACAAATACAAGATATCATAGATATTGGACGCAGCGCTGAAGGACTTCGAGGGTCCCGTCCTGCTTTAGGTATAGGTACGACAGATATGTCGCGCCATTGGAATGGTACATATGCAGACATTAAACACTTGTTTAGTAATAGGACCAAAATAGATTTTGCATTATAAGGCAGGTTACTCAACATGGAGTATGAAATATTGTCACATCCCGGTGATGTATCTTTCATTTTAAGACTTGCATTTAGTTCGTGTACTGAGATTGGAACTTCTAATTTGTGATTAATTGAAGTAAAGACAGGTGTGTCTCGTGTGACAAAGTCCGGTGTTAAACTATGGAGGAGGTCATTTGCTTTATCTTTATCTTCGCATCTATTTTGAGTTTTACGGCCTTTGATCCATCTCATTTTTTTCCAGAGATCACTTGCGCTCGAAGTTTCATTAAGGGATAAGCAGCACTCCTGCCAGGATTTATTTCTAGCGGCGCGAATTAGTTTCTATGCTTGACGTATCTTGGATTTGAGAATTGCTAAGTTATTAGGTGTAGGGTTTCACCTAAAAGAGGTAAGGGCCAAACGGCGAAGAGCTACTGCTTGAGAAAGAGATGGGTTCCAATATGGTTTAGGTGAAAAATTACTGTTTGGGTTTGAGCTAATGATTATATTTGGAATATGAAGTTCCGCAGCGATATTAAGATAGTCTATAAATAAATCGTAGCCTTTTTGTAGGTCTTCTGGCAAAATAAAATTTTGAAAAAGTTCTGTAAGCAATGTTTTATATGATTTCCAATCAGCTTTTTTGAAATTTTTACGTAATATAGTGTTATTTTGAATATTTGTATCCGAAGTAATTTTAATTATGAGGTGATCACTTCCTAAGCTCTCCCTTAGCACTTGCCAATTTAATTTAAGGGATAAGTCCAACGAGGCCAGAGATAAGTCTGGAGAAGATTGTTGGAGATTACCATTGACTAATTTGACTCGAGTATATTCTCCGTTCCTGCGCTTACTATGGGCCTCATAAGAAGGCTCAAGGTCACCCAAAGAGCGATGGAGCGTGCTATGCTCGGAGTTTCCCTGCGTGATCGAATCAGAAATGAGGAGATCCGTAGGAGAACCAGAGTGACTGACATAGCCCGCAGAATCGCTAAAATCAAGTGGCAGTGGGCGGGGGGCATAGCTCGAAGAGCTGACGGCCGCTGGGGCAGGAAAGTTCTTGAGTGGCGACCACGAGCTGGAAGACGTAGCGTGGGCAGGCCTCCCACTAGGTGGACCGACGATCTGGTGAAGGTCGCGGGAAGTACCTGGATGCAAGCGGCGCAGGACCGGTCTTTGTGGAAATCCTTGGGGGAGGCCTTTGTCCAGCAGTGGACGTCTTTCGGCTGAAACGANACAAAAGCTTTGAAGATCTTAAATCATGGTTTCATAAATGTTTTATTTAAGTGTTTATATCACATTTTAGGTGCAAATGAACATCGCATAGATAGAATAGACAATCACTTCTTGTCCCCTTCTCCCTCAACCCCTCTTCTGTACCGACCATGGTACCGACGTGTCGAGATATTCACAAGTAAACACTCATATCTTAAAAATAATTGATTCAAATAATGTACATTGTACATAATATCTTAGTTCATAGCAACAACAATAATTTTGTAATATTTTTATTTGGTTTTGGCTAAAAATAAATGAATCTAACAAATATAGGTTTTGTGTTTTTACTTAAAATTCAAACCTTGGTAGCGACCCCTAAATGTCTTGTAAAAATTAAAAAAAAAATAATGAAAGACTTTCATATGGTATATATTCAAATTACGTGGTGCCCCGCAAAATATAAGAAAAAAATTTTTTTTCGTAAGAATAAGGACCACCCTACTGTGTACACACAAAATTAGTTTTAATACATTCAGAATGTTTAGGATTCAACTTTGCTCTAATTTTGTGGATTCCACAACTTAGGGTTCAAATATTCGCTCCAAAACTTTGGCTTCCAAAACGTACAAGAATGCTCTCAAGTATTCAACAACACGGTACACCTAAGCATTTTCTTAGCTTCCCTTTCAAAGTTATACAAACGTTACCGCGGAATGCTTGTGATGCAACTGGAATGCTCAAAATTCTCAATTTCCATGCAGAAAACTCTATGAAAATGCACGAGGGTGAGACGGGGAATGTTGTCCTTATAATTGAACAGGTGCAGAGTCTAAGTCGTGCATGGCATTCTGCAGGCGCATTAGCATATAAATAACAAAGTGGGTACCAAAGGGCGGGTAGACAACCATTTTTATGGCGGGAAACTCAATTATCACCAGCAATTATCGAGTCAGCTAGATGGAAAAGCAATTGCTTTTTTGAAATTGCGGATTCGGGGTGGATTCGGTACGGTTTAGGGCCGTTTTGGGAATGCAAATTTTGGATAGGGTGTGTTATCACTGCGGCTCTCGCGAATAATAAATTATGGTAATATATTGACGACCAGTGAAATGGGTTTGGGTTTTTCAGGTCAGAGCTATTTCGATCGGATTCAAATTAATGGAGAAAATAATACTGTACTTTGATCCACGTGTAATTATTTTCGTTATGTTTGTCAAATAAAGTGTGCTTTTGTTCAGCAGTCTTGTGGCCTAAAATGATGATTTTAATGAGGACAAAGGACACTCTCATTCAAGCTACAAGTCAAAAATTTAATATTAACCATCAGACGTACCTAATTTTCCTGAAACTCATCGTAATGAGTATTTTTCCTCGGCTCTAAATTAAAAAGATCAATAAAAAAAATAAAAAATGCGTGTACTACGACACATTTTTCACCAAAATTCCTTCTTTTTTTGCAGCTTTGTTGGCTATATTTTCTCCACCTTATTTCCCTGACATTAACCCAAAAGAGCTTAGCGCGATTGCACACGAGCGCATTCTCGCTGCGTCGCGCGCGTATATCATTGGCGAGCATTAATTTGTGATACACCGCCGTGTGCACTCGCGTAGGCCAATGTGTGCTCGAATGCTAGTTTATGCGGGCGGTAAATAAACAAGCTTCTGCAGGCGTTAAATGGTTAAAGAAGGTTTGTTTAATGTTTTGGAAAATAATGTTTGTTGATGAATGTTTTAGTTTTTATATTATAAAAGTAGCCACAGATTATAAAATAACTTTAAAAAATCTATCGATTTAGTTTAAGCAACTCTTGACGGTAGAAATATTTTTAATTACTAAGTAGCTCAGAAGTTTAGACTTATTTAGTCTGATTTTTAAAACTCAAAATATTAGCAAGTAAGCAGCAATCTGCGAGTAAGCAGACCATATTATAAATAGTAATGATCCTTTCAAGTTATTTTTATAAAGTTATACGAGTACATACATACACACAAAAAGTTCTTTACATTTTAATTTTGATAGAGATTTTCCCTCTTTTTTGGCTTTGTACAATAAATTTCATTTACAGAATCACAGGACATTATTAGTATTATTTTCATTTTACATTTTATCAATACTTAGAGAACCTACATGAAAATAATGTTATGCAATAACCAAAGTATCTTATAACTTGTGGCACAGCACGTCATCCGTCGCGCAATGGTTAACCGCAACGCTGACGTCACTGCGACCGTAAGCGAACCCGTCACTTGGATATTAATGAAATGTATAGCACTTATGTCATAGAGGCTATGTTTGTAACAAATGTAGTCTGTAGTACAATATGAAAGTCA